GACCTTGGGAGGGTCTGTTTTGTTTCCTTGTGGGGGTGTAGTTAAGTTTTAGAATCTATTTAGTCTGTTTTTTAATGTAGTCACCCATTTGCTTCACGAATCACAATTATTTATATATCACACGAACCATAATGTTATGTTACCATAATTAGTGATATTTTGTTATGTTATGTAAGAAGAAAAAGAACTGAAAAAGAGAACAGAACTCTCTTCCAGTGGCAAGACAGCACATGGGCAGAAAAAGCTGACTGCATCAAAAGGATGGAGTGAACAGAGCCGAGCTTGTAAAGCCTCTTGGCAACAAGAACAGAGCCTGCGCAGATAAACCTGATGGACAAAGGAGGGGATTTTAAAAGAGATAAGCAGCTCCAAACCTATAAAAGGCAGATTGGAAATTATTGAAGTGTGCCTTGGATGAGCAAGGAAAGCTCACTAAGTCACCCAGCGCTGTAAATTTGCTTATTTGATTTTTATATAAATCTATAATAAAACTTTTTACTACGATATTTGAGCCTAGTGCCGATTTTACATATAACAAGGGGAAGCTCAGGGGACAGACACCCTGGTCCTTGGAGTCCTGTGCCCTCCAGGCTTCTCATGGTGTTTGTGCCAGCAAGGCTTTCTTGCCAGAACCTTCCTGGTGGTGCTGGAAAAGCAGAGATGTCGTCACGGCAAACGCAACAAACACGGCTGAGGTTTTCTCCTTTGGGAAAGGCTTTTTTCCATGATCCCCCACATTAAACATCACCTGAATTCCTGGGTGGCTTTTCCAGTCCTGGGGAGCAGGCTGAGGAGGGCATGCAGGGTCTCAGCTCACTGTTTGGGTGCAAGACAGGCAAATCCATGGTTTTCAAACACAGACCCCGGAGGGACTAAAACCTGCAGAGGAATTCTCAGACCTCCAGGCAGCCAGGGAGGTGGGAGATTTTAAGCATGTTAAACCTTGACTTTCACATCTTCCCCACTGCACTGTGTGTAAAAATCACATCATTAACTCCAGGTTGTGTGGCTGCAAAACCAAGGGGCAGAATTGATTTCTCTTGGGTGTTGCCATGGCTTAATGAGCTGGGCTTTGGCACTGAGAGGGTTTTGTCAAACCCAGTCTGATCAGAACAAGAAGCTGGATTGTACATTTGCATCTGCAGATGAGGAAGAGGGCAGGAAGAATTGTTTGTTCTGTTAAACCCTAAATACATTATTTTATTCTCTCACAGTAAGTTGTAAGGCTCGACTCTGCAGCTGAAGTTTGTCTGGCAGAAGGTTTTAATTTAGCTCCTGTGTGATGCAAATAACATGAAATCGTATTTCTAGCTTGAGGACAATTGTGGAATGCTTTGAAGGAAGCAGAAGTGGTCCAGTCTGTGTCAGAGAGGTTGGTCCCCAGCAGCAGAGCAGCTCTGGCTCTGTGCCCACCTCTGTTCCCAGGTAAAACCAGCATTGCCACCTGCTCTTTGGACCAGAGGTTTGGCCTTGCTGGGATCATTCAGTGCTCTGAAAACTGAAGTGAGAGGGGGTATGTTTCCCCTGATGGTGGGTGTGGAACTGGCAGCTGTTTGTTCCGACTTAGTGACCGTCTCTTCTCTCTTGGGGCTCTCTTCCTCCCCAGTAAAGCTCCCACACTGACCCCCAGGGTTGGTTATGAATCTGCAGGCCCAGGGCTCAGCCCCGTTCCCCCATCCTTGCTGCCCTGGAGATGGCACTGGGGTGGCTGAGCCATGGGGATGCTGTGCCAACCTGCTTGGAAAACAGGTCAGTTTGCTGCTGCTTTTGGTGGTGTTGGGGTTTCTCCCTGTTGTTTTGGGGACCACCCTTCTGCTTCAGCCAGAATATTGAAATGTCTGAGGGGAGGTCTAGAGCTGGTAGCAAATACTGGTGTGTAGGGGCAGTGTGAATTCCTCCAGTGAGTGAGGACTGGCTTCAGCACTCCCAGCCCAGCACTCTGCTCTCATCTCTGACAGGATGGGTTTCTTGTCCCTGTGCCCTGGAAACCAGATCCCACAACTCTCTGCTTGAGCTGTGTGGTCCCGTTCCTACAAATGAACTGACAAAATAGGGCAGTCAGGAATCCAAAAGATGCCTGATTTCAAAATGTTTTCTCTTTTTGCTATTCTTCAGAGACTGAAGAGCTGCTATAGAGGGATCTCACCTCCAAAAGCAAAGGCAGAATGGCAGGGGCAGAAAATTGCAGTTTTCCTGGGGCTTTCAGAAGGACCAGGGGGTTTTATTGTGCATCCAGTATCCAACCCACACTCTGTTTGTGGGTTGGAAGCTACAACCAGAGCTTCTTTAGGTGCACTGAAGTGCATGCCCACAGCAGGAACAGCCCCTCTGCTTTCCCAAAGCTGTCCCTTGTGTCAGCCTGCACATCAGGTCACCCAAAGGCAACAGCAAAAGGCTTCAGGAAAGCCCTGGAAAGAAGCAGCTGTGGTTTTTTGGGGGTGTCTGCCCTTCATCTGCTCCACCTGCCTCACACCAGGGGGGTTGCTTTGCAAGCACCCACTGTGGCCAAGCACTGAGCACCTTTCCCTCTGCTCAGTGGGTGAGTTCAGGCACTTACTGTTGTCTCACCAGCTGTTCTCTGGAAGGGAAGAAGTCACAGTTTCCCTAAGTCTCTGGCTCATGTTTCCTTTATCAGGAGGAGCATTTAACAATTGCATGAAAAGAGTCTCATCCATGCACAACATTGATTTTTGACAACAATCTGTGCTGATTGTCAGCCACAGTGCTGAAAAGCTGTGTCCATTATGGCACAAAGGATGGAGCAGAGGTAATTATGATCACTTTGCTCATGGTTGTAGCAGATGGGAAGGCTGTTTCACATCCTGCACTCCATAGGGGTCACAGTCTCAGTCCCTAGAAANGTCTCATCCATGCACAACATTGATTTTTGACAACAATCTGTGCTGATTGTCAGCCACAGTGCTAAAAAGGTGTGTCCATTATGGCACAAAAGATGGAGCAGAGGTAATTATGATCACTTTGCTCATGGTTGTAGCAGATGGGAAGGCTGTTTCACACCCTGCACTCCATAGGGATCACAATCTCAGTCCCTAGAAATGCTTCAAGTAGCAATTATTCCCTCTTGGAGGAGATCCTGCTGGTATGTGCAGTCTGCTCTGGGGATTAAACACAGCAACTGTCTTGGTGGTTATGTGAAGCAGGGATATAATTTTATAGGCCATAAAGATTGGAGAAAATTGCATGGGATGAACTGTGAAGTGTCTCAACCCACTGGAACTCTGTTCCTAAAGCAATTCCTGGAGCCTTCCTGGATGCTGGCAGAGCATGTGCAGCAGGAAGGACACCCCAAAAGCACACCCAGAGGCTTCTGTCACCACACACACCACACACCTGAAAGACAGTGGAATACTCACCTTTATTTTGGTGCTTCCTATAAAATCTATGACTGCCATGATCTTCTTCCCAGTGTTTTCCCAAAACGTTTCTGTTTCTTCCTCCGTGCTGGGACTGAAAGCTGTTTTCTGACCTAGGAAGTGAAACCACAGAACCACAGGGGCCGTGTTTATCCACCTCCCTTTTTTCCTAGAGGGTCTGGCAGGACGTTGGGTAAGCTGGAGGAGGAATGAAGGGGATGGGGAGGGCTCTGAGCAGTCAGGGCTGCCAGCCCAGAGAAATGGGGACAACCCCACCCCCCTCATTCAGCAGGGATCATGGGGGTCACCCCCCAGCCAGCTCAGTTCCCAAGCCAGTTGGCAGACCTGGGCAGACTGGCAGGTTTCGAATCACAGACTTTTCCACAGTTTTTCCAATCTCTCTGTTTCTGAAGCCCAAAGTCAGTAAGTACTCCTGGTCAGGCAGAGACTCAGCTCTCTCTGGCAAGAGGTGAATTCCATGAGGATCTGTGATAGGGAAAGGAAAATCATTTCCACTGTCACATTTCTTTTCAGTTGTAAGAGAAGTTTGGTTTTTTTTTTCAGAAAAATAAGGAAGTCTAAGGAGGAGAAACGTTCTCCAGAAAGCTTGCCAGAACCAGGTGACCAAACCAACCCATCCAGCTCTCCTAAATTTGAAATTTAGGACTTTACAAGCCTTTTGCATCAACAGCTTCAGTTTTGCTGATGCCTGAGATAAACCACATTCTGCCCAGTTCCCTGCAACGGCGGAACATTGTTGTGTCTGGAGCTCGAGCAGCACAAACAAACTCTCCCAAGGTCTTTTGGACTCAGCCCCACACACAGTCCACAGAGCAACCTGCTGTTACCTGTGAATATGTGCTGCACATAATCAGGGTGCTTCTCAGCAAAGCTTTTATTGGCCTCCTTTATTTTGTCAGCCTCGTCCTCTTTCTCAAAAGGTGTGTACAGAACGGAAAAAGACACTTCTCCACTCAGGGCTTCTTGAATCAGAGCCTAAAAAAAGGCAAAGAATTGATACTTTTCACGTTGGGTAATGGCTAGTTAAAAAAAACCCCAAGCAAAACAGTCAGGTGGGTTGGATAGAGACTCCACAAACCTCTGTCTTCAATGAGGGGACAATTACTAGATTAATTGTCTTTTAGATGAAAAGAAAAAGTGATTCCATGCTCTCTGAAGGTCACATCAGGAAGACTTTAGAAAAAACAGCTTAGGCAACAGCATCCAAAATTAAATTTTATAGCAGTCCATAAAACTGAAGCACGATCCAAGGGTTAACACCCTTGAATTTATCCCTTAAAATTAGTCCAAACAAATCTACTCCATTCTAAGTCCAAAAGTGTGGGGAATGTGCAGGCTGAAGGCCTGGAAAGAACCAGACCTTAGCAGCAGGTTTTGGGCTGAGCAGAGCACAGAGCAGCTCATCACAGGACTGAGCTGTGCCCTGTCCCCCTGTGGCAGCAGCCAAGCAGGTGCTGCAGTTGCAGTTTTTGCCCCATGAGGAATCCCTCCCATGTCTGTGCAGGTTATAAAAGACTCTGCCCT